CAATTTTTTTTAAAAAGTTTTTTTAAATAGGATTTGGTAAAAAATAATTTACCGGTGTCAACGGTGCTTCTTCGCATTGTTGTGTGTCTTGTTCCGCCATTTTTTTAAACTTTGATTTTTTAGTAAATCTGGATTTAAAATTTGATAAAATGGAAGAAGAAGATGAAGTTGGAGAAGGAGAAAAATAGAAAGAAGAAGAAGAAATGAGGAAGGAGAAGAAGAAAGGGGGAATAGAAAGGGTTCAGGGGCAAAATCATCAAAAACGAACTACATGTGAGTAATTTCTGAACTGCGAAAAGTAATGCCCAAACATAAAAAATCTATCGTACAATAATAGACACCAATAATGTTATATGTAATAGTAGTTATTTATTTCTATAAATAGAATAGAAAGTCAAGTAGAAGAGACAGACTTGTTTTTAGCAAACCTTTCTCTTGTAAGTTCAAATTCTCAGTTTAATAAAATCTTGATTTACATTCACTTTACACGTCTACAAATAAAATCAGTACTCTTCTTGAAATTTCAATGATTCTTTCTTTATTATTTTCAGAAGAACATGTTATTGATTCATCAGGATAGAAAAGAAATATCAATTCCAAATTCAACAAGTCGTAAATCCAATTAAGAAAGAAGAAGCAGAAGAAGCAGGGCCTTCAAGAACAAAGTCAACAGAACAACACAATGAAGACGATCTGGACGAAGAGATGCAAAAATTCCTTCAATGGAAGATCAAAAAATTGCAGAAACAATTGAAACAATCGTCAAAAGAGAAATCACATTCATCACAAGGATCATCCTATGATCCTATGGATGGACCCCATGCTCAGGAGCCATTTGAATAATAATAAAAAAACATAAAAGAAGAAAAAAGAGAAAAATAAAATTTTATATTTGTATTAAAAATTATTTATTTTTACTTGAATTTTTTAAAATGATCCCGTTTCAGTTCATCTTGTAATAAAGCTAAAGATCTCCAACACCACAATCCTACAATAGTTCTTGATTTTAACATTTTTTTTTTTTACTTAATTGTTACTTTGCTTTTTAAAAAAATTTACTAACACCCTAACCCACCATTTGATAAACGCGCCGGAGCCACATGTCAAAATTTTGGTAAAGAATATAGAAAGTGACGTAAGGTTATGGAGTAGAAGATCTTTTACCTTGTAATAAATGTTTCTCAAATGGGCTAAAGATCTCATATGCTACAATACCACAATACTTCCTAACTCACCATAAAATATTTTTTATTTTTGAATTTTTCAATTTAATTACTACTTTTCTTTTTTAACAGTTTTACTAACACCCTAAGTCAACCTTGGATGAAACCATTCGGGCCACATATCAAAATCTTAGTGAATGCTGCAGAAAGTGTATGGTGTAGGAAATATTTTTCCCTGTAGTAAAAGCATCCCAAGTGACCCCGTTTATTGAAGTAATATTGACCATATCTAGTAATTGAAACAAATTATACATGCATTTTATATATCCATAAAAATCATACATTTATATTTATGTTAAAAATTATTTAGTTTTCATTAGACTTTTCCAAATGATTCCGTTCCAATTCATCTTGTAATAAAACTTTTCCCAGTGACCCCGTTTATTGAAGTATTATTGAGTGTATTTAGTAATTGAAACAAATCATACATGCAATTTATATAGCCATAATAAATCATACATTTATATTTGTGTTAAAAATTATTTATTTTTAGTTTGACCTTTCCAAAAAAACTCGTTCAAATTCATCTTGTAATAAGGCTAAAGATCTCCTACACCACAATCCTACAATAGTTCCTGACCCACCCTATATTATTTTTATAGTTTTTTTAGTTAATACGTTATTTATTTAACAAATTTACTAACACACTAACCCACCTTTGGATGAACCCGCCAGGGTCACGTGTCAAAATCTTGGTAAATAGTGTAGAAAGCGGCATATGAGATCTTTTCCTATGTAATAAACCTTTTCTTAGTGGACTAAAGATCTTCTATACCATAATTTCACAACACTCCTAAGTCACCATATGATATTTTTTTAATATATTTTTTTTATTTAATTACTACTTTTATTCTTTAAAAATTCTGCTAACACCCTAACCCCCCTTTAGATACGTGTCAAAATTTTGGTGAATGTTGTAAGAAGTGGTATAGGATTATGACGTAAGACATCTTTTACCTTGTAATAAACCCTTCATAAGTTTCCTCGTTTATTGAAATATTATTGAGCATATCTAGCAACTGAAACAAATTAAACGTGAATTTTATGTAACCATTAAAATCATATATTTTATATTTGTGTTAAAAAATTATTTATTTGTAGTTGAACCTTTCTAAATGATCCTGTTCAATTCATCTTGTTATAAATCCCATCCCAAGTGTCCCTATTTATTGAATTACTATTGAGTATATATAGTAATTTAAACAATTTATGCATACAATTTATATAGCTATAAAATTAATGTCTTTTATATTTGTATTAAAATTTATTTATTTTTTAGTTAGCCATTTTTAAATGATCCTGTTCCCATTTATCTTGTAATAAGGCTAAAGATCTCCTACAACACTTCCTAATCCACCATAAAATATTTTTACATTTTTCTATTTAATACTACTTTCTTGGTTAAAATTTTTTGTAACATTCTAGCTAATCCCCTTTGGATGAACCCATTCAAACCACATGGTAAAATGTTCGTAAATGATATAGGAAATAGTGTAGGATTATGGTATAAGACATCTTTTCCATGGTAATAAATCCTCCCAAGTGACCACGTTTATTGAAGTACTATTGAGCATATCTAGTAATTCAAAACAAATTTTACATGTATTTTATATAGCTTTAGAAGTCATACATTTTATGTTTATGTTATTTTTTTTTTTAGTTGGACCTTTCCGTATGATCCCGTTCCAATTCACCTTTTAACATACTATTTCCAAGTGGCCCTGCCTATTGGATTACGATTAAGTATATCTAATAATTGAAATAAATCATATGTATATTTTATTTAGCAAAAAAATCATATGTTTTAATTCGTGTTAAATTTTTTTTAATTATTTTTTTTAATTAAAAATTTTCAAATGATCATGTTCTAATTGATTGTAATAAACCCTTCGTACGTGACACCGTTTTTTGAAGTGCTATTGAGCATGTCTAGTAATATGAACAAATAATACATGCATTTTATATAGTCATAAATAACCATGTATTTTATATTTGTGTTACAAATTATTTATTTTTAATTAGATCTTTCTAAATGATCCCGCATATCAGAATAAAATCTAATTAGAAAATAAAGCTAACAATAAGGTTACCAAAATATACGTATTTAAATAAAATCAAATTCTTAGATTGCGGATCCAAAACCATACTCTTTTTACCTTTTAGCAGCCCTCCTTAAATAAGTCAACTTTTTAAAAAATTCTTACATCCTACGCTCGTTTTTTTATTGCTTATCTTTTACCACTTTTTGATTCAATGCAGCCTACAAAATATAAAAGCCCCCAAAAAAAGTAGAAAAAATAAAACTGAAATATTAATCTTTGCTCAAGTTCTTAGAAAAAATTAAAATCAACAAAAAAATAAATTAATGAAAAATCACTTAATGCATCTTCAAGAGCGCCAGGTTTGTAATAGACTAATATGTGTTTTGGAGGAATTTTACAGTGAGGGAATTGACATAATCTAGTCACTCAGTTTTCTTCTTCCAAACCTTTAATTTCCGGACCGCTACTTGATTTACTCATTTTTAGTGAAAAGGTTGACACAGGAAACCAAAACTATTTTTCACACGGGAACAATCTTCAGATAGGCGGCCACTCTTGATGTCAGAAAAACTGGCAAATTCAAAGTCATGTTTCCCACCGGATCGAAGATTATCAATATCTTCACAATCCCTCATCTGCGTTCGTGGAATAAAGTTAATTATGTTTGGATGTTTGCACGATGTAAGCTTCTGAGATTTGTTATTTATAATACATGCAAATTTAGAGATTTCCTTGCACTTCCCCTCAATGATGGAGTTGATAAATCAGGGCATCATCTCTTTTTTTTATAGATGCAACGATTTTATTTCCCTATAAAACGAAAGCATGACATAATAATATTATTTACATAATTATCAAATTTAAAAACAACTTTTTGAAAATTATTCTTCAATATCATAAAAAACAAACTTGTCCATCCATCAAAAGCATTTTCAAAGCAACAACTTGATCATCATCGTTGATGAGGGGCTTTACCCAAACTCGTAAAATTCGCACCTTAATATTTCAACCGCATTCGGTTCAACCGTTAAGTTGAGCAATAGAATTCACCTTTGTCGACATAGCTATTTTAGCAGACAAGTGATAGCGGCGTTATTTTTATGCAAATAAAATTTTAAAAAAATTTGCTCACCCAATTCACGTATTTATACGATGTAGAGGCGGCGACCAATTAGGGTTTAAAGTGTGGCAAAAATTATGTGAACAAAATCGCAACGAATCATTGCTTTAAACTTGACGATCATTGGCAGTTATAATAAAATTTATTTTATTATAATCTTATAGGCTTAATTTAGTTATATTTTAGAGGTTATTAATTGATTTTATTATTGTTTTGTGTTAGGAAGTAAAATAGTGAAAGATGACTATTATGTACTCTTACGAACTATTTTACGGAGTTGGAGTTAAAAAGAAGTTGAGAAGATTTCATCAAGTCAAAGCAATTATTTGCAAAATCTTGACGGCTTGATTTCACTGCAAAAGATTTGTATACATGTTGAAGACTTTTACCAACTTAGATTGGTAAAAGAATCATGGAGCAACAACCTGCAAATTTGGGAATCAACATATATACAGTTTATATAGGATTTTGACTCCTATTTCTTTGAAATTTCGGTTGGCAAAAAGGCACTATAAAGTCTGGCTTTCCACCAAGCTTCAGAAGCGGCTTTTCGCCAGCGTCAAGTGTGGTCGAGGAAATGTCTGGCTTGACCCAAATGAAGTTAACGAAATCTACATGGCCAATTCTCGCCAAAACATTAGGAAGTTGGTTAAGGATGGTTTTATCATCAGGAAGCCAACCAAGATCCACTCAAGGTCCAGTGCTCGCAGAATGAAGGAGGCAAGGGTCGACACTCTGGTTATGGTAAATGTAAGGGTACAGGGAAGCTAGGTTGCCAACAAAAGTACTGTGGATGAGGAGGATGAGAGTCCTTAGACGTCTTCTCAGGAAATATAGAGAAGCTAAGAAGATTGACAAGCACATGTATCATGACATGTACATGAAGGTCAAGGGTAATGTCTTCAAGAACAAAAGTGTGCTGCTGGAGAGCATCCACAAAACTAAGGCTGAGAAGGCTAGAGAGAAGACCTTGTCTAATCAGTTCGAGGCTAAGCGTGCAAAGAACAAGGCTAGCAGGGAAAGAAAGATTACCAGGAGAGAGGAACGTTTAGCTCAGGGACTAGGTGAGAAACCAGCTCCAGCAACAGCAACAGCAGCTCCAGCCCAAACAGCTCAGGGATTGAAGGAATCGAAGAAGTGAATCAGCTATGATTAGAAGGAAATATATGTTATTTCTTTGGACCAGCTTCAAGTCCTTACTAGTGTTGCAGTTTACTGTTTTTGATTGGTTATAGTATCGAAGAAGTGAATCAGTTATGATTAGAAGAAAATATATGTTATTTATTTGGACCACCTTCAAGTCTCTACTAGTGTTGGAGTTTACTGTTTTTGACTGGTTACTGTTTTTTGTTTTTCGTCGTGTAAACTTTAGTTTCTTACAAACTGATGAAAGGAATTTTGAGATCTTTTTTTTTTTTTTTTTAAAAAGCACTATAAATAGAGCCTTGTTAATTGATCAAAAGTGCACCCCTTCCCGTAGCTGAGCAAATTGCTACTCCCTACTTCATTTTCATTAGTTTTCTTAAGGCTTTTTAGTCATATTTTATTTTTCTTTTGATTTTCTTTTAAAACTTAAAAAATGTTTCTATAGTGACTAGTTTTCTTCATTTGATTCAAGGATTTTTATTCATTTATATTATATGTGAGACTACAAGTTTCACTTTATTTTTTTTCTACTTTTAATTCAAATATCTGTTGATTTTGATTTATTTTTATAAGAGTTAATACTTGGTTAACCTGACAATTTAATCAAGTGTTTCCTTTCTAATGCTACCAGATGTTTATGTTGCATTCTTGTCTTAAACATTTAACACTAAGTAGCAACTAGCAGATCATGCATGTTGGTAGTGACACGTTGAAGGTGCATGATTAGTCTAACTAGGGAATCAATAGGATAAAAATATTATAATTGCAGTTATTTCAATTATTTTGATTTTTGGTTCAACTGCATTTTTAAAAATTTTATTTCAATCATAATTTAATATGGAATGTTATCGTGCTCAGTTAAATTATGATAAGTTTTGATTAGATGTTGGGTTTGGTCAAATATTTTTGGAAAATATAAGATTTTTTTACGGTTATCCTATTAAATCTACGGTTGAATGTTTGAGTTGTAGAAATTCATCTTTTTAGTCGATGATCTATAATATAATCGAATCATTCCTTGAACCAAGTTTTTATATTACAATTTTCTCAAGTTTTATTTATTTTAATTTTGCCAGTTTTATTTCATATGAAAAGAAAAATCCCCCAACTTGTATTTTTATAGAACTAAGAGTTAAAAGTCGGCTCTCTTGGGATTCGACCTGATTACACTGTTTCTGCAAATTATTTTTTGGTCTGTTTGGAAATCAGATTAATTTTCACGGGTCTCGACAAACCCGTCAATCATAATATGAGATTATAAGATATTTACCTTATATAAAACATGCTTACGATCATAATATGGAATTATTAGATATTTACCTTATTTAGAATAAGCTTAAGTACAAATTAAAAAATAACGTGAAGTAAAAGTATGGATGGTTATTAATTTAAGTTAACCAACTTACAATTATTTTTTACACTTTAATAAATGACCAATAAATTTATTACATGTGGCACAATTTACCTATATTCACTCCATGAATGACACCTCTTAATTGAAAACCTTACTTTAATATATATATATATATATATATATATATTAGTGTTTACCCCGGACGTTGTGCCGGTTGTTGAAGATAAATATTGAGTTGAATGATTTAATGATTATGTGACATTTTTCACGAAGTGATATATGAAAAAAATAATATTATGGATATAAATTGAAATTGTGTAACTTTTAATGTCAATGTGTTTTGTTATTTTAAATACATTTTGGAATGATTTTTAATACGTAAAAATCATCCAATGTAGCTTGTTGTCTATCATATTCGTTTTGTTGAGTTATGATTTTATATCTTTTAAAAGTATTTTCTGAATTTGTATAATGAACTCTTTACATATTTTTACCTGTGTTATATCTTTTAAATTCCCCCTCTAATATTTTTCTTTGTTTCTTCAATTTCTCAATATGTTTTTCTTCTATTATTTGTCTCTCACGAAAACCTTTATCATTGTTTTAATTTAGAAAAACTTCTTGCTATGATCTCTAGGTTTTGTTTTATAATCATAACATTAACTTTTTCTAAAATTATATCATATGGAAAAAAAAATAATGAATATATTATATTATTATATTAATTTTTTAGTAATCATTTATTATATAATTTTATAATATATTATATTCTATATAATTTGATATATTAATATATTAAATATATCATAATATATTATAATAGTTCAAACGACAAGGGGGGTTTTAGTTTGTAAGCTAAAAAATATTATCTCCTAGTTAATTTAATTTTGAACTATAAATTTATACAATTTTACATTAAAAAATTATCATTAAATGATGAAGTGATGTGGTTGCGACATGTGGACTTGGGTGTCTAATTTTGCGCCACGTGGATTAGTCTATCTAATATCATGTCATTTGTACGATTAAAAACTCTCCTTTAATATATATAAAGATATATATATATATATATATATATGGATTATGTTAAATTTCATTATTTTAACTCTCACTTTTTTTCATGAAAAAACAATACTACTGAAGAACAAAACTAATCAAAACTGAAACTAAAAGTTTGCTACGTATCTATACATAAATATACCAACATCTAAGCAAAAGTCTAATAGAACTTGACCAATTCATGATCTAATGTCACGGAAAAACCTCCTCTATGATAGAGTAAGTGTTTTGAAAAAGAAAAAAGAAAAAAGAAAAAAGAGAGCATAGATGATATCGATTAAGTTCCTAATCTTTAACTATATAAAGATACATGTGATTTAGTTTTGATTATAATGATAAAATCATATTTGATTACAATGATTTTATCAATTTATTTAATTTATGATTCGTTAACTTAATTAAAATATTTAAAATTTGGCATAATTAAAATAAAAATTGCAAATTCAAATTTGAATCCTGAATTTTTAAATAGTTTAAAAGAAAAGAAATGTGATTTTTGTTTTTCAAATGATAATATTATGAAAGCATTTCTTAAAAAAACGTAATTTGCAAAAAGAAAAAGGTAAACTAAAATCTTATAAATGTAAACATAACCGTAGTTTGCAAAAAATAAAAAATAAAAATAAAAATTGAGGTTTAATATTAGTATATTAGACAAAAAGTTAAAAAGGAAAAAAATTAAAAATTAAAATGTAATTGTGAGGGATAAAACAAAAAGAATAAAAATGACAAATTATCTTTTCATATACATAACCGTATACATAAATTTGAACAAAATTTTTAATTTAAAAAATATTAACAATGGATCTTATAGTAATATAAAAATTTTGTTGGCGTAGATTAATTTGATATATATAGTACATTTTCTAATTATTTGTTTATTTAAAAGATATGATAGTTTGAAAAAATAGGAAAGAATTGAGAAAAAAAACAAATAAAGTAAAAAGAAAATTGGGCGAGAAGAGAGCGAGGACGAAATGGGAAGGGTGGGGAAATGGTGCCGTACACGCGGTCGCGGTGCTTTTGTGATACCATAATGGGCTATTGGGCCTAATTTTTAATTACAATCGGCCGTCGACAAGCACCGAGATACATCGGCCACACCGCAAACAACTTGACGTTTCAGGCCAGCAACCTTTCCCTCCACCATCGATTCTCAATTCCCTTTCTGTCTTTTAATCCCCTTAAAATTAAAGCTGACGGTGTTGCCCAAGTACGATTCACCATTGAAGCTGGAGAACAGAGAGGAAGCACGAAACTTGGAGCCGACCTAGGAATTGGTCCCCTAATTCCTCTAATTAGTAAGGTTATTCGTCTTCAAGGTAGATTGAAAAGGAATATAGAATCAATAACCATTAGCTGATTTGATTGGCAAGGTGAGTGTTCTCGCTATTTTCTTCATAAACTGATAGAATCAATCCGATCTTTGCTTTGCACTTGACAACATAAAAAAGTCCAAGTTACATTTATTGTCAAGTTTTCGGTTAAGATCATTGTGGACAGCACCTGAAGCTCAATTGAATTCAAGTTCTTACTGAAATTCGCACCTTAGTGTGTTCAACTTAGTCCGTTGAACTCGCTAGGGTTTTTAATTCTTTCGTTTGTAAATATATATCAGATATATACAAGTATATACGTTCATGTTTTGGAATTTTTATTTAAAGAAGAAAAGTTTTTCTTTGGTTGGGAGGACTTAGGTTTAGGGTTTTATGAAGATGATAAAATGGTGAGACTATTGGGATTAGCAAGGGGGCTAGTTGGGGAACCTGCTGAGTTGCCAAGGGAGATTACTCGTTCGATTCCGACCAGTGAGAATGTTGGTGAGAGCGGGTGGCTTATCCGTTTCTTTGATTCAGCATTTTTCTGTGAATGGATTGCCGTCAGCTACTTGTACAAGCATGATCATGCAGGTGTTAGGGATTACCTATGTAATAGAATGTACACCCTGCCCCTTCCGGGCATTGAAAGTTACTTGTTTCAGATATGTTACATGCTTATATACAAGCCTAGCCCTTCCTTGGATAAGTTTGTTATCGATATCTGCTCAAAATCACTTAAAATTGCACTTAAAGTGCACTGGTTCTTGATGGCTGAGCTTGAGGACAATGATGATAATGAGGGAATTAGTAGGATTCAGGAGAAGTGCCAAATTGCAGCTACTTTGATGGGTGAGTGGCCCCCTTTGATTAGGCTGCAAAATGCTGCTTCGTCGAGTCCTCTGGGTAAGAACCAAGTGCTCAATAGATTGCTCTCTTCAAAGCAGAAACTCTTGTCTCTGACGTCCTCTCCTCCTGGGGGGCAGCGCTCAGTGTCATTTTCATCTTCTTCTGGACATAACTTGCAGCAGGATGATGGTAGTGGTAGCAATGGAATCCTTACTAACAAGGTGTCATCACCTGATGATAATAAGATCTTCAAGAAGTTAATTCCTGGAACAAAAATGAGGGATGCACTACTTTTCAGAAAATCAGTTGACAAGGATGAGGAAGATACAGAGAAGGATGGCTTTTTCAAGAGGTTGTTGAGAGATAGTAGAGATGAAGACACCAAGAAATCTGTGGACAGAATTGATGTGGAGTCTGAAAAAGAAGGGTTTTTCAAAAGGTTGCTTAGAGATAGCAGAGATGAGGATGTTCGTAAATCAGTGGATGATGATGAACCAGAGAAGGAGGGTTTCTTCAAGAGGTTGCTCAGGGATAATAGGGATGAAGATTCTCGAAAATCTATGGATAAAGATGATGACGAATCAGAAAAGGATGGGTTTTTCCGGAGGTTGTTAAGAGATAGTCGGGATGAAGATGAGGAGCTAACTTCTAGCTCGGATGGGTTCTTTAAAAGATTATTTCGTGACAGCAAAAGTGAAGCAGAGGAAAAACCTGGTTCAAGATCTGGAGAAGATGACGGTAAAGATGGATTCTTTAAGAAGATTTTCAAGGAGAAATTTGATGAGAAAAAAGATATGGGTGAAAGAAATGATGAAGAGGGAAAAGCACGAAGAACTTCCGAAGATGATGGGTTCTTCAAAAAATTCTTTAAAGAAAAATTCGAGGACAAGAAAGATAGCGATCATGAGGATGGAAAAGAGCAGCTAAATGGGGAAGAAGATGAGCCTTCAGAGTTTTCATTGTTTCGCAGGATATTTCGAGTGCATCCTGAGGACCCAAAATCTCCTGCTGTTGACAATAATAATGGTAATGATAGCAGTCCTGGAACAGAAAAGTTTTTCCGCAAGCTGTTCCGGGATCGCGATCGATCTGTGGAAGACTCGGAGCTTTTTGGTTCAAGAAAGAGCAAGGAGGTCCGTTTCAAATTCCTTGTTAAATTTTCACCTCTATTTCCGATTGTTCATTATGTTTTAAATTGCATTTGCATTGCATGGTTTTTTAACTGGAACTAAACTGGATGGTAGATTTCTGTTCTTTACTTTGAGACCTTTAAACTGTCGGACTAGTGTGGTTCACGCTAATATGTTTCTGTCTTTTATAGTTTTAGGAGGCTTGATTGTGTTTCTTATCCTCGTAAGCTGACTTTTAGGAATCTTTTTAGTTATAGGAATTGTATAGGAACTTGATAATGATCATGCTTCGAGCTCCTTATAGTCTTTCCTTTTCGAATTAAATACCTATCTTACTAATGTTGATCCAATCAGAGTTCATAACCATTCCCGGAGCTTGTGGTTCTTGAGTGTTGTTCTTTGTAAACTAAAAGAAGGGGACAAAATTCCTGAGAGAGAGGTAAAGGTTGTTTCCTGCGCCTTCTGAGATTGGATAATGAATTTTTCCATATATTCTGTATCTATGATATATGATGAAGCTGGATATCATAATAGGTGAGGAAGCTTATTGGTTGCTATGATCCCGAGTTCTGAAATGTTGGGAACAAAATCATTGGGTTGCTCAGTAGAGGTTAATTTAAGTGGAGGTGAAATTCGACCAAAAGTTTAAGCTATTAGTTTTTGGGCTTAGCAATCGCTTCAAAAAACTAGCACTATCTTCATAGCATAGATGCATCCATATGTACAAGTACATTGTTAAAGAGGTTGCAGTCACTTTCTTGTCATTGATATGTGTCTATAAATTGTGGGAAAATGCCAAATCAAAACTTCTCCTTCAGCCAGTTCTAAGATTATTTTTTTTTGCAAAACAAAATGCTCATGTAACATGTAGGGCACCATGGTTATTCACGCATTGAATAGTTTTTTTTCTTTGGGGGCGTATGTGAGGGGTCTTGGTTTTAAGCCCTCAAACTAGCAAAATATCAATACATGTATCATTTTATGTACATTTGTCTCTTTCTGAATCCTGCTTCTTGTAATAATATTTTCTTTTGTTGTTAACACTTGTTTGTGCTTGCAGAATGCTCCTGGCTCGCCAAAGCATTCAAAACCTCCACTTCCAATGAGTGGTGCATCACATTTCCGGAAGGGGGCATATCATGCATCACTTGACTTTGTACTATCTTTATGCGACACTTCATATGGATTAGTAGATGTGTTTCCAATTGAAGACCGGAAGAGTGCCCTTTGTGAGGTTGTTCATTTATCGAATCTCTAGTTCGATGCCTTATTCTTTTATAAATCATCTGCTATCTAAATTAGAATTTCTTTTTTCTAGTCGCTCACGGAGATCAATTCCCAGATTGCTGCTTCTCAGAGCAGTGGAGGTACATATACTTGCTTATAAGTTTCAGTATGTTTTCCTAAGTGATTTGATATGTAGGTCCTGTTAATTGTTGAAGATTTAATGTCATGTACCAGAGGGATCTTGTTTACATCTACTTGTTTGTGATGTATTATTGTACAGATGCTTTTGCACTTCTTGGGAACAATAATTGACTATCAACAAAAAATAATACGAGTAATAAATAATTAGCTCTAATGTGAATTTTCCTTGGCATCAAGTTCTGCTTTCATGCTACAATTTGCTAGAGTTTCATTGGGTGATAGACATGGAGTCCAGAGAGGGTTACAAGTCCAGGTTGTTTTGGTAATACATATTTGGGCTAGAAAGTTATGTATTATTTAGACAAAAGATTATCGTGGTCATGCCTGGATTATTAAGAAATTATTTATCAATATACACTGAAGAATCATAAGGCTTATGGCTGTTATTATGCTAAATTGAAGCGGGGTATATTTAACTTAGTGGATAGAGGGCGATAAACAGTGAGTCATTCCAGAAGTTAGAGCTATCGTTATTTAATTGTACTCGTTACATGTGTAACAGCCTTGTTTTTTGTGGTCTCATTTATTTGTTAAAGTTCAATCTGTAATTTTATCTTGCAATTCTGTAGTCATTAGTATTTATTTAGCTTCTAAGGTGACTCAGTCTTTCTGCTTGTGATGTGGATGCTTCAGAAGGCTGAACGAATGGATTAACAGTCATTTGCTTTCGTCTGCCTTTCTTTTATTTGTATACGTATATGTGCATTTCATTTATTTGTATACTCTTACTTTATCGTTTGTTTCCTGGAAAAGAAAATTTGCACTATTCCTTGATTGTTTCTTTTGTTTCCCCCGCTTTTCGATTGTATGTTCTTTGTTTTTTCCTTTGCTATGGGGAAAAGGAGAACATCAGTATTCTTCTTGGTAAAACCTCCAGCTTTGGTTTTCTGCTTCCTTACCCTTTTTGGTCAGAAAGGGAACTTCTCCCTAATGCTTTTTTAGTACTCATTGGTCTTTGTCATCTGTGCTGTAGGGGTTTGTTTCCCAATGGGAAAGGGAGTGTATCGTGTAGTTCATATACCTGAAGATGAAGCTGTTCTTTTGAATTCTAGGGAAAAAGCTCCGTATTTGATCTGTGTTGAAGTTCTGAAAAGTGACATGGCCAGGTGAGGCAGATCTTTATTGAGATGCTTTTGCAAACTTTACATGTATTATAATCATTATGTGAGCTAATAAAATCTGTGTCCTTTTGCTTTTTCTGAACTAGCAACTTGAAAGATGGGTCAAATTCACAGAAGCTTTCTAAAGGAGGCATCCCTTTAGCCAATGGAGATGCATTATTGCCTAAACCGCCACCTTGGGCATATCCATTATGGACTGGAAATGATATGTACCATAGTGGTTATGATAGGATGTCGAGGTCTACTTCTCAAGCGATAGATGAGGCAATGACTCAATTGTGGGAAGCTAAAGTAAAATTTGTTCGTGTGAATCTTGCTGTGGAGAGTCAATCAATCTCAGAAATTCAATTTTGTAGCTGTGAGAATGGTTCAATATGTAGCCAAAGTAGAGATACTGTGGGTCTTCCTCAGCAGAAGAAGGGCCTGGAAAATGAATGGGTGAAGGTTACTTTGACAACCGATCCTGGAGTTAGCATGGATGACATTGTTGACCAAGAACCACAAAGGAGGAGAAGGGAGCATCGTCGTGTCCCTAGTACAGTAGCCATGGAGGAAGTCAAGGTTACTTTTCTTCTGATTAGTTAACATTGTTTTTGTGTTTACCGTTAAAATATTACTCCCTCCATTCCAAAATATATGTTGCTGGAGAAGTTTCACAAAGTTTAAGGAGACAATAAATATTTGGTTAAAATACTAAACTACCCTCATTTATTCTCAATAGAATTCTATTCCCAATGTCATTTAGTTCTAATACACTTCTACTTTGAATACAATTACAATTTCCCATGTAAGGACAATGTTGGAAAAAGTTGACAAAATATACTTAGATATGCGAAAATGACATCTATTTTGAAAAAAATTGGCTTTCCTCCAACGACATATATTTTGGAATGGAGGGAGTATATTTTTCTGTACTCCTTATTGTTGACCACAATGTGAAATTGTGAATGTTCAAAATTTGGATTGTTTAATAAGTAGGTGTTTGAATTTACTAATCATAGTGCTAAATTTGAGTATACAGTTTTTTTACTTTTGTTTTAAGTGATTTATATCCTTTTTGGTTTAGTGTGATTTTCCATTCACAAGGCTCACTTGAGTACATATTATAATTTAATCCCTAGAAACCTCCTGCTTTTGCTGTGTTGGAAGTTGAAGAAGTTTTTGTGATTTATTATTTGATCTCTTTTTTCCCTCCAAATATATTTGTTTCTTTCCGATTACCATGCGTGCATTTTCTATTCTTACGGAGAATTAAATATCATAGACTTCGTCTGTCATTTTTTTTGCATTGTCTAGTTTGATTGCTTAACTCATGTTGTTGGTTACCATCTGGCATTGCAACCCTTCCGTTACTTCTGTAGTAGATAACTGTCAATTCCGATGGTGGTTTTGTGGCTAGGGATGAGAAAGTGATTTTGAGAGTATGCACTCTGGTATCTTGTAGGGTTTGCTACCTGATGTGGTTGAAAGCACATGCCAAAACCCATATACAAGTTTTGAGTTTTCTAAGTTTTCTTTTTGTACTTATAAAGTTGTATTACTGGTTCTGTAATGTGATGTATGTTTAACATTTCCGGAACAGCTGGCATCTTTTTAATCACATTGAATAACGTGTTCAGAAAATTTAAATTCAATTTGCACACTTCTATTCAAGCAATTGATTGCATCCTGATTGAAATGATATAAGACATCATGCAAATGGCTTAAAGGCATTCCACAATTCGTGACTGCTCTCGGTGGGAGTGGTATAGTGCATTAACGCTTTGTAGCCGTGCTGGTTGATTGTGCAATGGAATGAAACTTATTTCATTTCCTCACATAAAAGGTTTTCTTTGTAACTCCTTGAGCAAGAGCGAAAAGCTTTTCTTGGGATTCTTTTAGTGGACTAGCTTCTCAAAGCAGCCAAATGTTTTTCTTTATGCGTAATTAGTATACGATTTCCCTTCTTTTGTAGTGCATTGGAGTTCTTATATCTGTCCTTTTACAGGCAGCTGCATTGAAGGGAGAAGCGCCCCCTGGCCTCCCTCTGAAAGGAGCGGGCCAGGATTCATCAGATGCGCAACCAAAGGTAAATTGTCTATTCTTTTGTTCTTGCTTGCTGGTGAGATTCACATATGTCTAACGTGATGGTCTGACTCTAAAACAGGCTGGAGGAACTCCTAAGGAAACTGATGCATTGTCAGGGGAACTTTGGGAGGTAAAGAAAGAGAGAATACGCAGAGCCTCAGATTATGGGAAATTACCTGGTTGGGACTTGCGTTCTGTAAGTTATAACCTGTTCCATCTTAGATTTGTATTTTTGGATTGATTGTTGCATACTGTTACTGAGGCTGCTCGATGAGGAATCTTTTTGCGATAGATATAACCAAAGCTTATTCGTAGAGATTTTAGAACAGCATGAAGAAAGTTAGATATAGAACAGCATCATGGCATAGAAAGCAGAATTTTAAATCTCAGTTTCAGCCTTACATTTCGAGCTATTACATTATGCGTATATATAGGACAAAACCTTAAGAGCATCATGGCGTAGAAAGCAGAATTTTGAATCTCAGTTTCAGCCTTACATTCCGAGCAATTACATTATGCGTATATATAGGACAAAACATTTAGAGCAGATCGACTTGCAGTCTCGTTCAAAAGTTTAATTACTGCGAAGATGAGTATTATAGGACCATCATTGCAAGAGATTTGGTTCCCCTATAAATTTTGCCACCATTATGCTATTTATAAGTTTTGGTTAGTTATCAACGTTTGTGATCTATCAAAGTTAGGATTCCAATGAGAATATCTGTCATGTTGAACTAGCCAGCTTCTTGAATCCTTTTTTTATTTTTTATTTTTTATTTGAAGACCTTAAGGGCTTGAGCAGTCTTCACTGTAGTAAAAATGCGACTTGAGGGAAAGCTGAAGACGTGCATTGCTTCAAAAGTTACTAAACCTGAAGTATACAGAAAGAGGGGGTGTTTTAAACTCCGATGAGACACGCTCCAATGTTGTATTTAGGCACCCCAAACAGGATATCAATGAATCTTATAATTCTGTGAATATCCTAGATGACAGAAAAATAACTTTTAAGGGCTGCTGATGTGTCCGGTCCTACACACTACTGAAGTTTGAAAATGACCTTAGATATTTGTCCTTTTTAGTCAACATGATCTCTAGTTATACATGAATCAAACCTATTTGCTTGAGAAGATTTGGTAGTTCGTTATTGTATCATCCTTCATTCCCTTATACACGTATATTCAGATTCATGTCATTGACTGCCACTTGGGAAATACAATTTAACACTTCATGTTGTTTTATTATTGTAAAGAGTAGAGTTGATTTTATGACAATATTCTTATAGAATTGAATAATCAGATTTTTCAGGTAATGTGGATGATTTACTCCCAAAATTCTGTTAAGAAAACCAATCACATGGCTTCCTTTACCCAGATTTGTTGCATTAGTTTGCTAGAATGACTACCTTGTACCTTTTAGTATGGTGGGAACTTTTGGTAGTGGGAGTCTACATTGCTTCTCTGTTTACCGGATGCAAGATCATGATGCATTTCTAGAGGCTCGATGACATTTGAAGTTCTTATGAAACACAAACATCCATTCATTGTTGATCTTTCTTGCTCGTGTTTGGTTTTTGATTATTATTCTATCTCAAATGATTTGTCCTCATTAGTTAGTTGCATACACATTTCTAATGTCATCACCATTATTTAATTGAAGTAGCTTTTGAACCTTGTTTTCTCACTTATTTGACAGGTAATAGTGAAAAGTGGAGATGACTGTAGGCAAGAGCATCTTGCTGTACAACTTATTTCCCACTTCTACGGTGAGTGCAGGATTAAGATTTGACTGATATTGTGTCATTTGTATGACTTACATAATTCTTTTTCCCATTCATGTTGTGTATGCATTTATATTTGTAGTAGTAGACTTACATGTCCTTTCTCTTATCATTGTTTGTGTATGTGTGTTTTGTATTTGTCTGATTTAGCCAGAATCTGAAGAAACATACTAACATAAAATCTGTTTGTGTCAACTATGGTTGATTTCTCAATGCCTCAGTTGGAAGATAGTTTACATTTGTGTATTATTCGTGAGAATTGTCTGAGCATTTAATTAAGAAGAAATAATCATTCAGTTTATAGTGGTTTCTCTAACGACATTGACTTTCTAATTCGTTGCCTTTTAAGTTTTTTTCTCCTTTTTTTATTATTTTTTAAATTTTTTGTAGTTGTAGATACCATTTATCTGCTTTCTAATTTTTTTTTTTTTAATCTATTTTGAAACTAGATGAATGTATGTACTCAAATAGAGAATGCTGACATGTGATCCATATAGTGGACCATATGTGGCGGGTTGAAAGTGGAGTTAATATGTTCTGGTTACTGTCTTCTGTATTGTTAGTTTTGCTGAAGTTTGTAATGTTGTCTCTTTTTGTAGTAATTCCTGTGTTAGATTATTGTTTCCGTGACTTGCCATATATATGTTTTAGGATATAATGAAAATGAACTATTCTGTTTTACTGGAAAATGAGCTATACCTGAACTACCCGAGTTTTCTGTCTGCTGATGCAGATGAGGGAAAAATTAAAAAAAACCTTTTGAGGGTATAGGTTCCCTGAGTTTTATGTGTATGTATATGTGCCTGTTAGTGTATATGCTGAATAATTTGGCACAATGCACCTTCAAAAATTGGTCATCTTCTCAAAATCTTGGTTATCAATGCTTCGGGCCTTCAATAAATCTGACATCCTTTATGAAATTCCTTATCTGGTGATATGTTTGGTGATACTAGTGATTATTATATAAATTTGTACATTGAGTGCTTTGTTATATGGGCTCGTTGGTGTTGTAGTGATATAGTAGCGGTCAGCTGACTGGAAACATTGTCTAGAATTAATTCTCTAAGTCACTTTATTTTTTAATGCTTATCTTGTAGATCTGTTATTCTCGCTAATTTTAGCTTGAGTTGAATTTCTTTGTTACTGTTATTCTCTTTCACAGCTAAGAATTTAATTGAAACTTACTGATGCAGTTAAGCAGGGTGGTGAAATTCTTTCGCATAAATTTGTTCTTGTATAACTTTGGTTGCGGTGTCTATGATCATCGTTGTTTATTTGTTTTGGTTCGGCTGGATTATCTTTTGAATTGTTGGGTCTATAGCTCTTCCTGCTCTGGCCTGGCTGAGAAAGCAAATTTTTCTTGACATCCCTTAAACTCATCACACTTGGCAATAACGATTTGATGATCTATTTATTATTTTTAATATGGCAGATATATTTCAGGAAGCCGGTCTTCCTCTCTGGCTGCGGCCTTACGAAGTTCTGGTTACATCCTCGTACACTGCACTAATTGAAACAATTCCAGATACAGTAAGTTTTCTGTTGTTGGTTACGGGTTTTCCTCGTAGGTATTACTTCTTATTCATGGTGAACACCACTTAAATTGATCTTTTCTCCAGGCTTCAATTCATTCAATCAAGAGTAGGTATTCCAACATTAGCAGTTTGAGGGAATTTTTTAATGCCAAGTATCAAGAGAATTCTCCAAGTTTTAAGCTTGCGCAGGTGAGTTACCATGAAGCACTGGATTTTGCCTCTACATTTTACACTCCCTCTTATTTGCAATTTTCTGTTTCCTTTCTATTTCATTGTTTTTGTCTTATCTTGTATCTCTAGGTAGGTTGTATGAAAGTTATCTTTGAGCCCCATGCCTCTTGTCCTGAATTAGACATGATCTGAATAAGCATCTGCAGAAAAACTACTCCCTTATGTATTTTATTTGCAAATATAGTTAAGGCTAAGATCATGTTAGGTATTTTATTTGCAAATATAGTTAAGCCTGAACAAGCATAGGCAAAAAAAAAAAAAAAACACTCCCTTATGAGAAGTTTGGAAGGATGCATTACGATGGAAATATTGTAATAAGTAGACTCACCGACTGGGTTTAGAGAATTGTGTCCTCTCTGTTTTGTGATTGTTATATACTACTAATTCAATTCATTAAGGATCAAGTCACGTTGTTATACATGAGTGGCAAATGAATGGAACGAGAGGAAAACACTTTTGGTCATTCGGAAGTGTGTTTTAGATGCCTCAGCACCGCAGTAGAAAATAAAGAATCGTTAATTTAATTGACTGGAAGACCTGAATAATTTGAAACTTTTGTGAAAGACATGAGGTATTGAAATAATAAGCATGTGTTGAGACGGAAAACATTTTCTTCCCTGTAGAAAGACATGGGGTTTTTCTCATTTTGTATTTTTTTATGGGTAGCAGGTAATTGTATCATTGGTAGGTTCTTGATGTTTTTCCCCATTTAAAGTTGAAAGAAAGCAAATGAAAGATTTTGGCTCTAAATGATGCTCAGACAAAGGAACATAGTTGCACGGAGCATAACAGTTGTTGGTCCATTCGTTGTTTCTTCTTCAGAACTGCAATTCTGTATTTTGAATGTGCTTTCTACCTTGTAACGTTATAGTTATGAGTCAGAAGATTTTTATGGGATAAACTGAAAGAGTTTTGTTTGGTTTCATTTGTCTTGTATAATTGTATATTATGTAAATGGCCCGTGATTCTTATGGAGATCACTTAATATCCACACTTATGATTTTAAATGATAATTTACGTGTGGGGTCTTCTAAATCATATTAGAGGATGAAGAAAATATGATGGTGCACAATCAGGATGCTAATAAATTGAAGGAGTTCGACTTGTTGAAATTTTAAGGAAAACAAGGAAATGGGTTTGCTAATATAAAAATATATGCATATTCCTCGTGAAATTGCTGAATACTAGTCAATGATTTCTGCCTCAAGCAGGACAAAAATGTAGGAAATGAGAAGCATAACAACTTCTCAAAAGTCTTGGTTTATTTTCAAGCAGGCTTGGCTAGCTTTTAGTATCACAAGATTGGTCCATTTAACTCATGTTTTGTCATATTAGGACTCTTTGATGAAGTGACATAGCAGCAAATAATGTTTGTTTTGCATTGTTACTTTTCCTTACAAATGGAGAAATGCTTAAGCTTAGGCAAAAACATTGCGTATAATTTGATTTAACAACAATGTGTTGATGTATGCAGGAGTTAATGTAAAATTGAATTAATTTAACTAACGTTTTGGTTAATGTTCCATGTAAGCAAGGCTTGATTCAGGTGCAAGTGTAGATTAGATAACCTGGTTCACTGTATTCAGCCTCGGAGCAACAGTTATATCTTTCCATCTTAGTCGTACCCTTCTTCAGTAGTTGGCAGAATTTTGATTTATTAATTTATACTCCTATGTTTGCGTCATTTCAAAATCATGACTTTTGTCCGTACATGGTGATGGCTTGTTGTTGTTGTTGCTGCCTTTGTTGTATGAATGAGTCCTGCGGTGCTTTTTTTTTTATGAAATATGTTTTGATTTGTGGCGTGTCTGAAATGCAGAGAAATTTCGTTGAAAGCATGGCTGGATATTCTCTAGTTTGCTATCTCTTACAGGTGACTATTGTTCTTGCTCACCCTCTCGCCTCTCTTTTTTTGTTCATATATTGCTGAATATTATTGAGTTTGTTTCTGATTTGTGATTTCAATAATTGAATTTGAGAGTTCTGTATGTTATTTCTGGCTTTAGAAAGGTCAGTATTGTTGAATTATGTGACTTTTGAAATGTGTGTAATTAGCTGATGCAATTACCTCACTTCTCTCTGTCATACCAAAACTCATTATGACTTTCTTATTTCCCATATTGCAAAGTGCAGGACAGCTCAAATCTCTGTTTTTCCTTGAGCTCCACAGTAGTGATTGTGAACTTAAGAGTACTCCCTCCATTCCAAAATAAGTGTCGTTTTAACAAAATGGAGAAATTTCAAAATAAGTGTCGTTCTCACATTTCAATGCACTTTTTGTCAAAAGTTTCCAAAATTACCTCAAAAGAGTTGATGCTATTGGTGGACAATTTTATAATGGGGTTGGTTGAGGATATTCAAGTAATTTTATTATCCTATTTAAGATTTTCTTAAACTATGTGCAAAATGTAGGACGACACTTATTTTGGAATGGAGGGAGTATTATAAAAATAACATTTCCCAAAAGGAAATAATAATTTAGTACAATAAAAGAAGATGAGTTTAGATGTTCCTCAAAAAGTTAAGCAATACAAGTTGTTGAATGCTACCAAACATATATGATTTTTTGAGTGGTGAACATTTTAATCATCAACTCTTATAGTTGCTTCTTATCTGCAGATAAAGGATCGCCATAATGGAAATCTTTTGTTGGATGAAGAAGGTCATATTATCCATATTGATTTTGGCTTCATGCTCTCTAATTCCCCTGGAGGTGTTAACTTTGAAAGTGCACCATTCAAGTTAACTCGTGAACTTCTGGAGGTAACTTATAGTATTATGTTTGTGTAGGAGGTACCCTAGTTCTCATGGTGTTTTTTTTTTTTATAGTTTATTTTTATTTTTTATTGGTATATGGCTTCTGTTCTTTGCTAAGTTCATGAATATGCCTGCCTGTGATAGGTTATGGATTCTGATGCTGAGGGTGTTCCAAGTGAGTTTTTCGATTACTTCAAAGTAAGCATGAAAAATTTCATGGCTGTCCTTTGTTTTTTTCCCTTTGCTGATGGCCTCTTTGGATTTACTTTTGGTGTGTGATGTATTCAATTTTTTGTTGGTTGGTCCTGCATTCAGGTTCTATGCATCCAGGGATTCCTTACATGCCGGAAGCATGCAGAGCGGATAATTCTTCTTGTTGAGATGGTGCAGGTGAATCATTTTAACTTTTGAGCATATCTATTGGCTGCATGGTCGGTGATTCCATGGAATCTTCTATGTTTGAGATTCTCAATTACATATAAGGACATTTGAAAAATGGCTAATCAGTTGATTCAAAACTTTAGGAACTATTGAAGGTTGTTTTAGCGGAGCCATGTTTCAAACTCTTTTAAGTCTTTGGAATGTGAGGAATGGTGCATAGTATATCTTTAAAATGATGGCAAATCGAGCTGAAAGGATAGTTTTTAGGAGCCCATTAGTTTTCTCCTTAAAACTTGTTCTATTTTAATGGGATTCCGAGGAAGTATTTGATTCTTTGTTGACTTAATTATTGTTCTAATATTGGTTGGCAAGGAATTGATGCTTCCATCGGTTATTTGTCAATGGTTGAAATGGATTTCATTTTTCTATGCAATCTGCCCTCTTTATTTGTCAATGGTTGCTTCTTTTCATGGCCTAATTTTGCAGTATTTCGAGGCATCACTCTTTAAATCACCATGAAAAGTTTTTAGTTTAGAAACATTTAAATGTATGCAGTATTTGATAGTCTTTTAGTTTCTTTTTTTATCGTTTATTTTGTGTTTTTTCCCCTTAGTGAAAAAAGAATAGACTCTCTGTTAGAACGCATATCCTGAGATCTAAAACTTTGGTTGTTGACTGAGCACCATGTAAAATTCGCTTCCGTACAAATGAATTGACCTAGATGGTTTTTGTTTCGAAACATTTTTTTTTTTTCCAAATTCAAACCATACTCTTTTTTTTATCAGGATTCTGGTTTCCCTTGTTTCAAGGGTGGTCCCAGGACAATACAGAACTTGAGGAAACGGTTTCACCTCAGTTTGACAGAAGAGGTCTGGTTTGTTTGTTGTGTGTTTTTCTAAATTCTTGTTCTTTCAATTTGTTGAGCGGTTTTTAATTTTTTATTTTTTTGTCAAGCAGCAATGTGTGTCCTTGGTGCTTTCTCTAATCAGCAGCAGCTTGGATGCATGGAGAACTCGTCAATACGATTACTACCAGAAGGTTCTGAATGGGATATTATGATACTTAAAGTACAATGACGGGTTTTTTGTGAATTAGGCTTTGACTCAAGGAAAGGAAAGTGAGACCTTACTGGCATTAAGGATGGTGTAAAAAGGGCACAGTTAGATTCGTTGGATGCGCTAAAACATCTACTTGAAAAGGCGTAGATAGAAAGTTTTGCAGGAAACTTGTTCACTATGAGGAAATTGTAATTATGTACGGCATATATACTTCTTTGGAATGTCAACCTGGTGAAGCCATAGGTGGTGAATTTTCGTTTGTTCACTGCTTGTTTCCTTGATGAAGACAAATCAATCTGCCAATGGTGTGTTCCTTGATTCAAAGAAGACATTGTGTTATTGGGGTCATTTGACAACAGCATGTATTGTACAGGGTGGTTCTGAGATGATATGCTATGTATACAATAGTCTGCTATCGGGATAGGGCTTTTGAAATTGTGCAGTTTTTTATGCAAACCCAGGATGGAGTCGTCCTCTTCAGCGTTAAAACTTTTCATGTTGATTTAAAGAGTGATGTCTCGGCTACTTTATCTTTTGCAACAATGGCCATTTATCTCAAAGGTGTGGATTCCTCCTTCATGTGCGACTATATAGGGAAGATTGTAGTCCAACGCTGCAAAATTGTTGTAATTTTGTATAATGATTTTTTTTTTGAATATACAGCATTTGTAACACCATTTCTCAATTGAAGTGGTTTGTATGATTGTTGAAATCAGGTATAGCTTTGTATCCCAGGGTTTACAAAATTTTTGGGCGCTAGCTAATGTTTCGTTGGTCAACTAGTGTTACAATTTTTTCATGTCCGACATCTCCAAGATGTCTCATTTTAACTGCATAGAGCCGATTGTTTGAGTTCTTAGTATTACTTCATGACCTCTTTTTCTTTTTTCTTTTTTTTCTTTTTTTTCTTTTATCAATGTTCTCCGTCTACCGTTGCTTATGAACAATACGGTTTATGCGTCTCATTTCATTTCGTCTAGGATGTTAGGATCAAGCCGTTACGCTTGTACCTTACGTGTCAATCCGGAAATTGAATTTTGGAATTTGAATATAATCAAAAGTGCATTAGTTTGGAAATAAAATAAGATAAAATAAAATTGAAGCATTGGGTGATATTTGCTTTTAACGTTCTGATAAGCCAAGCTGAAGCTGAATCTCAAAACTTAGATTGAGAAAGGAATCACTGATTAAAAGGGCTCCGAGGAGCAGCGTCTTTTGTTAGAAAGGACAAATCAATCTCTTTATAGTTTGGATGACATATTCAGCTCGAAAATTACCGGGAAAGAAAGGTTTATATAACAACTGATAATGAAATGAAGTGAAGTGAACTTTAACCAGCCACAGATACTGAAGGTGTTTCCCCTTGTGAAAACTTTTGGCAATTTTTGACACTTGAATCACAACATGTAAAGCGAGGTTTTTTATGATTTTATCAAGTTCTGCTCAGTAGCTCAAACTCTCTGAGCCAGTTGAGATTTTTATTTTTAGTATAAATTCTATTAAAATTTTTAATAATAAATCATGAACTCTCTAGGTCTATATTGTTTCATAATTTTGTTTTTATTTGGACTCAAGAATATGTGATTACTCCGAATTTAATAAAAAATAAATATACTTTCAGTCTCAAATTGAGTTTTGCCAAAAGTTTCATTCTTCGAAATGTAATTCTTTTTAGTAATTTTTGACGTTCTGGGTTAGACATTAAAGAAAATTGTTGCCATTTTTCATCAATTGCATTAATCATCCGATATCATCAACTGGTTTAATTGTAGTACTCGCCACAATAATCTTTCAATTTATGGGTCCTAAATAGTTATGCTAATTTGGTCGGTTTGGCTCGGCTAGGCTCGGTGAATTCGGTTTGAATTAGTCGGTTTTTTTCATTTTACTATAGGGCTGGCAATTCCTGACACGACCCGAAATTTCGACACGAACCCGACACAAAATAACCAGGTTCGGGTTGAGATTTTAGACCCGTATAATAAACGGGTCAGGTTAGGGTTAACCTGTTTATTATATGGGTCGGATTCGGGTCAACCCGCTGGGTTATCCGGATTATCCGTATATATGTAATATATGCCTTTTATGAGGTTAATTTGGAAATTTAAGCAAAGTTTTCTATATCTTACTATATTAGAAACAAAAATCATACTTTAGAGAAACCACCACCATTTATCATGTGGCATTTCCACATCATATTTTTTTAAATAAATTTTTATTTACGCATGCATCTCCTAGACTTAAAAGGCAAATGCAGTTCAAATCCATCTTTACCTCCTATTTTTGCCAAAAAAAAAAAAAACAACGTGTTCATAAAAAACCCAAATCCTCATCCTCATCTCCACGACAATCGACTCCCTAATCAATTCTTTCTCCACAATAAAAAAAAACAAATTTCTCATCAATCATCAATTGAGAATATGTGGTGAAATATATTCCTTTCCTATTAGCATGTTAAATTTTTTCATTAGTGATGATCAACTATATCCTAATCTGATAAAATTTCGTGTTCAAAAAATATTCTCTTTATCTCACTATATAAAACAAAGGAAAAAAAAATTCTCATTGATCTTGCTTCGGCCATTATGGTGGTGCCATTACAGGTATTAAAATTTAAATGATTTTATTTCTGCAGATCATTTATTTGGCTTTTATTATTTTTTGTTTTTCCCGTTCAAGAATAGTGTAATTGCTATTATTTTTATGCGTCCATCCGTTACAGCTACCGTAGTCGTTGTCAGGTAATATGATGTGATTTCTTATATGGTTAGTTAGCCTAGAATTTTTGTATGATTTTAGTTCTGTTTGGATTGAATTGATTAATTAGATTTTTGTTACAAAGTGTGGTTTTTTAAATTTCTTTTTTATGTTTCATTCAATTAGACTGATTTTCTTATTATGGAGTCTCAGGTTTTGTTTCGTATATGGTCAGTTATGAAGTGTGTTTCTTTCTTTGTTTAATTATTTTTGATTTTGTTTCATACTCCCAGTTGACCAATTATTATTATTATTATTTTATTTTATTTACAAATAAAGCGCTTTTTTTGGTGTTCGGTCTTTCAAGAATATACTTTTTTAGATTTGATTTTTGGACTTTTTTTAGTTCCTCATCATATAAATAGTTCAGGTCGCTTCTTATGAATTTGAGATGGAGAGGGAATGAATGATTTTTCTACGTTTATTTTTGTTTTTATACATCATTTTTACCTACAGAAAAAAATAAATTTCGCAATTTTTAATGGGTTATCTTTTACATTTTTTTTTTAATTTGCCATGGTGAGGTGAGTTCTTTTTTGCTATAACTTGAAACCTATGTAAATTTACATTATTTTCATTCTTATATTTGTGATCAACCAGTTTCAACAATTAACAAGTTTCAAAATCATATTTTTGATTACTACCTATAAACTTTTGGAAGAAATAGTTTCAACAATTAAGCGTATACCCTTTGGAGGAAACTTATTACAAAGCTATTATAAATCTCCAAAACTACGTATTGATTTGGCACAACCAATGGAGAACATTAATAAATTATCTTACTAATATTTAAACTTATGAGGATGCTTTTATATTTTGTCTTGCATTTACTTCAAGACATATATTTAATTAAGTTTATTTATATTTAAGAAGTAACACTTATAAAATATTTTTAAAATCTTCAAACATTTCTAAAACGTACCGGGCCAAATACAATTTCTTTTTATGCCAAATACAAAAATTTCTATGATCCCACTTATAAAATATTACTAAATTCTTCAAACATTTCTAAAATATATCAGTCCAAATACAAAATAGTTTTTTTTTCCAGATACAAACATTTCTAAAATCTACAAATATATTGGGTCAGGGTCGCACATTGCGCGACCAGACATCACTAGTATAATCATATATGGCATTTTTTTGTTTCGGTTTTCAATACTCATTTTTCCTTCCTCTCCTCTTTCTTCTACAAGTTCCGGTTCCAATTTCAGTACCGTTTGTCCCATTTGCAGCTCTTTTTGAGCGAAATGATTAATGGGATTCATTGATCCGTCTGAGAGGATCATTTTGATGTTTGCTTTGTACATTTTGGTGTAAAATCAAAGGAGATCGAGGTAGTGGCAGTGAAGTAATCCGAGATTTCCATTAGATTTGGGGTTGTTTGTCTAGATTCACCGGTCAAAACAGTCAGGGGTTTCATATATTTAATTGGGGGATCATATTTGTGTAAAGATCGTTTCATGCACGATTTGGCTAGATTCAAAGTCATTCAATGCCAACGCATTCCAAACCCGGCCTGAAGTTTTTTTATTTGACAAATTTGATGGTTTTTAGTGATCATGATTCCGATTAGTTTATGATTTTTTTGGGTGAGATTTGTTAGTTTCTGAGTTCTTGCAACAAAACATGACTTTTTATTTTTTTGTGCTTATGATAATTTTTTTTAAAGATAGTTTGTGCTTATAATGGTTGTTTCTCGCGAGCACGGGTTATCTTAGTTACTTGCCTGAACTTAAAAGGATGGTGATTATGACATCAAATCAATCTGTCCTTGAACCTATGTCGGTTTGGGAATGTTTGGAATTTTTTTCGGGTTAAACAGATCAACCCAGGTCGACCTGATTTTTAAAAGGTCGGGTTCGGGTTGACAATCCCGACCTGTATAATTAAACAGGTCGGGCTCGGGTTAGTTATAAAATTTTTGTGTTCAGGTTCGACCCAACCCATCAACCCAAACCCGACACGGATTGCCATCCCTATTTCATTCCACTCGCCCAAAACCGAATCGAAGTATCAACACACCAAACTGACCGAATATATAATCGGGTTTATCGGTTCGGACTTCGGTTCACCCGAAATCAAATCAAATCGACAGAATGATGGATCCCATACAACCCCAAATTAGTTCAATCCCAACAAGAACCCAAAACAAATTTAACTAAGCATTAAGTTACAAATTCGAGATTCGACAACCGAAAATTTGGAAATCATGTCTAAAGGATAAGAGTTTTAGCTAGCCCACTATAGATCTAAGGTTCAAAAAACTTCTCCTTCGCTTCAATTGAACAAAGCTGGAGAGATTGGTCATAGTCAGAGAAGGAAAGGAGTTAAAAAATCATGTATATATATACACATGGAATTAAAAAATAATAAAAAATTATTTAATCGGGTTATTCGGGCCAGCCGAATAATATTTCTTAAAACCGAAATCGAACCGCTCAAACTAATCGATTGGTCAGGTAAAGCCGAAATGCACCCAATTAAACTGATTAGTCGACCCGATTAAGCCGAATAAAGATCGAGTCAGGCAGTTTGTCGGGTTAGGCCGATTAACTAGCAGTCCTAGTCCTAAATTATAATTTCTGTTGATATTATACCAAATCAATTAAATTATCTTTTGTATATTAATACAATCCAATAATAATTACAGGGTTTTTTTGGCTTTCTATTCTTGTAATTTATTACAAATTTTGATTTCCCTTTTTTTTTTTGCTAGTGAGATTTTTGAAGTCACTTTTGTATATTTTTAATGTGTGTACACTATACATATATATATATATATATTTATACATATATGATGTGTTACATGAGCATTTTTATTGGCCTAAAATGCAACATGATGTTGCTAAGGTTTGTTCATCATGTATTCATTGTAAGCAAGCTAAGTCTAAGTCACAATCACATGGCTTTACACGTCTTTACATACTTCTATCCAACCTTGGACAGACATTTTTATAAATTTTGTGTTGAGGTTGCCTAGATATTAGCGTAGATGTGATTATGTGTTTGTGGTCGTTAGTCGTTTTTCTAAGATGGCTCATTTCATTCCTTGTTGTATGTTTGATTGTGCTAACCATGTTGTCGACTTATTTATGCATGAGATAGTACGTTTGCATGGTTTGTATCGTACAATTATTTCAGATAGGGATGGAAGTTTCTGAGTTACTTTTGGAAGACCTTATAGGGTATTATTATTATTATTATTATTATTATTATTATTATTGTTATTGCTGCTTTTAGGTTATTTATTAATTTATGATATTGTTGGTACCTATAGATATATAAGAAATTTTCTGAAACATTATTATCTTATCATTTTATTAATTTTTTTTTCACTTTTTGTGCCGGTCTCAATTTGGAATTGGAGAAAATTATTAATTATTAAAAGTTATTAATTTATAGATTATTAATTTACTGACGTTTTACTGTATATTCAATCGTCTAAAACCCTAAAACTATCTAAATAGTAAAAAGTAAACTATGTGAATGTCATAATTAAATCAAACAAATAATTCAAATTGATTTTAAATCAAATTTTAACAAGATATTAATTTACAAAGTTATGGCAGATTCGCAAACTGCTTGAATGATTGGCAATTAATAAATACATAGCTAATTTGTTATATAAAGAGCAAAAAAATTTTACATACCAACAATACCCTTATGTGAAACATTAATACATCTACTGTAATTAATTTTCCTTTATTTTCTCCTTTCTCTTACGGTTTAGATAATATCCTCCGACTGTGTTGCAATTCCGCTCTCCGGCATTAATCTACAGGGTCCCGGATATTAAGCCTATTATAGCATATTAATAAAGGGAAGGGAATGTAAATAATCCCTTTTACCCTATTAAAGCAGAATACAGGATGTTGATGTGGTAACTTCTTATTAAAAATTTTTGGCTCCAAATGCACCATATTGCATTAACCATTCTGCCACGTGTCATCCCTTTTTAAAAGAAAAAAAATTCTTATCCAGAAAAAAAAAGCTACTTTACAAAAATAACTACACAATTTTAACTCCTAACATTTATCATTTATCAATCAAATTAAAATAGTATTTAAATTTGTCCATAAACTTATCCCCTTTATTACTCCATATTCTTTTGTATGATTTCTGAATCGTTGTACTTTTCAATATTTTTTCTCCTTTGGCAGATGATTTTTTTTATTTTTATAATTATTTTTTGCTAAAAAAGAAAAAAAAACAAATGTGTAGCTATTTTATTTTTTCCAAATTAAGAATTTATTTATCTATTAACATAAAATTAAAGTAGAGGGGCGCCCGGACATCTGCCTGGGCCAAGCATCTAGTAGTATATTAACTAAAACCCAAAGAATTCTGCTCTGGCCGTTTCAATCACTTGATAATCTCAAGAAAAGTGACACAAACTTTCGCTCGAAAATTGAGATAAATACACCAACAAATCTACAGTCAACAAAAAGGGAATTTAGATATGCTTGACCTTCTTTTATTTAAAATATTTGGAAAGTCTTCCTTCATCATGCTCATAAAGAATGTAATTTTGTTGCTGGCTATTTAGCTATGCAGACGACGACGAATCCGACATGACTTATAAGGTTGAATTCGCCCCTACCAGGGGTCTTTTGGTGGCTTAACCACAATATTGTAGGGGTAGCGTATCCTAAAACTATTGCTATGTAATTGTATGCATCACATACCTTTTTCAGCAAAAAAAAAGTACTTGGAAAGATATATAAAATTCAATCAAATGCTACTAGTAGAATTGAGCAAGAAAGCCTGCGACTTCCTTTCATAATAATACTGATTATTAACAGATGCATCAGCTGACCAAATCATGACTCCATTAACTTCAAATCCATTTTCTTCAATGAGCTTTAAAGCATCAAAAAACCTATCCCCCTGTATTCCTCTGCCATTCACTTCATATGCAGGCAAAACTTTGGCCTTATCAAACTGTTGTGCCCTGAGTCTGAAGTCATTCAAGAATCTCTGTGGTGTTCTAACTTTATCAGTGTAAAACTGATGATTTACATAATCAATAACATCTCCATAGTTTCGAAAAAGTTCGATGTAAGGAGCCACTGTGTTGTAGAATGGTGCTATAGTAGCCACAGAGATGACACTCTGGTTCTTCAACAGGCTCAGGAGTTCCCCAATGCAATAAGAAAAACTCCCACTGCTGTAGTTAGTCTTTCTGAACACTTCATAATCGACGTCGATTCCATCGAGATGATAGGTTTCGACGAGGGATTTGATTGAATCGAATGCATTTGATATCCAGAGTTGCTCATTGGCAGGATTGTACCATTTGAGGACTGTGTTGCCAAGGCTCCAACCAGAAAGGCTAGCCATGACTTTGACATTAGGATGGCTACCCTTTATAGCTACAATAGAATCAGGGCTTAAAGATGACACCCAATATGGAGAAAATGTACCATTCTGTGGATTTCCTGATGGATCTGCATCAATTGCAAATCCAAGTATGAAATGGAAATCTATGCCATCTTCAATTGGTACATTATCAAATCTTACTGGGGCACCTGTGGCTCCAATGTACTCCATCATCACCTTTCCATCTGAAAAACATCAAGTTAAATAATTGACAAACAGAAGGCCCTAAGAGATTTACAATCCAAAGACAATGTCCAACGAGATATGAACAAATTAAAAAAAAAAAGCAAAATTCAAAAGATGTAAAGGGTTCTTATACATACCACAAAAACCTTTTAGTAGAAATGCAATTGCCAAAGAAGTTTTGAGGAGAAAGAGATGATGAATCTTTGCCATATCACTTGTTCTAGTAAACAATCATGAATCACCAATCAATTATATATTGCCTTTCTTTTTCGTTTTACATATATAGTAGTTTATTTATGCATCTGACACGGCCGGCACAAACCTCTATCAAACCAACAAAACCAATGCCATTTATCGAACATAACAAGAAACCGCTAAGTCCTTAGCATCATCTTGTGGATTTTTCTTTTTGGGGTTATTTCGAAGGACAAATTGTCTTTTCTTTTTGGAGAAATCAACTTTAGCATGTATCATTTTTAACGTATTTTTTTTTAAAAAAAAAACAGCTAAAGTTTTTAAAGCCAAATTTAACAATAACTTGTAAATAATAAGTGACTCTATTTCATTAATTCTGCAATTTTATTTTATTTTTTAATCTGATTAATCTTCCCGAATGAGTACATGAAATGATAATTTATTATTTAAAAATTGATATAGTGATCATGAATAGCTGAAGAGAGAATTACAACTTCTCATTAGTTTATTTCTTAGTTAATTTCACCAAATTAATAAAAGAATTCAATGTTTTTAAACTAATGAAAAGAAACCGAGAGAGAGCGAAAGGAAGCATCTTATTTCTCCATGAGATTTAAGTAGACATCGATAAAACAATTTTGTTATTAGAGAGATGCCTTTGGAGATGAACTGTTATAAACATGATTTAAATATAGGTTTTTCTTAGTATTTAGAAAGTATCATGACAAGAAAGTACTATGTAAATCTATCTTTTGTTCATGTTAAGGGTGATGATTGTGCTATTGTAAATATTTTCCTCCTCTTTGGTTGCAAAGGTGTAAATTTTTCTTGGAGATGTAATAATATCTTATTTAAGATATATAGTACTCCTATAAAAAAAATAAAAATAAAAAATCACAAATAGTCTCTATTATAACTTATAAATTATACTAATAAACAATACCCCTTCGGTCCTTAATATAAGGTATTTTGATTTTATCCTATATTTCATCTAGTATGAACTTTTAATTAATGAGAAAATCTTAAAAAATTATTTTCACATTTGTTGTGTTCTCTTGATTGTTAGGAAATGTTTTTAAGGTTTTTACGTCAATTAAAAACATGTCCTAGGTAAAATCTAAGACAAATCAAAATACTTTATATTGACCAGAGGGAGTACAATTTACAAATTATAATGTTATTATAAAATTAATACTAAACTAGCATATGAAACTAAGCATAAGAGCAAGAGAGGAGAGAAAAGAGAGTAGAGAGAGATAAGAGGCTTGTATTCAGATGTATTTTGAAACATGAATGAGCTCCTTATTTATACAAGAAATAGATGATCAAACTATGGGAAATGAATCACCTATAATGCTAAATATTACAGAATCATATTTCCTTAATTGTGAATAGAATAATACATGTTATCTATGGACATTCAATCAAATCAAATCAAATATTTCATAACACTCTCCCTTTGAGTGTCCATCTTTGCGGAATAATGCCTCGTTAAAACCTTACTAGGAAAAACCCTTTGGGATAAAACCCTAGTGAAGAAAAAAGAGTACAATTCCAAATGTGACACTGCCTCGTTAAAAACCTTGTCAGGAAATCTATTGGGACAAAACCTCGATCAAGGGAAAAAGAGTACAGCGTGGGTTACTCTCCCTGTTAAGTACGCCACTTGTAATCTTCTTGTTGCATGCCAAGCTATTGACCGGGTTCATGATTGTTTAAGTCAATAATAGACAGATTACTTCGACTTCTTATGTAGACTGTTGTGTTCATATACCTGTATAATCTTGAGTGTTTTATAATAATAGAGATGCATGACCATCGTACCTTAAAGGTATCAATATACAATATCCAATTCTTGACCAATTGATTAGACAAACTGAAACTTTATATGCTACTTTAGGACCAAATCGGTCTACGTCATTAATAGAAAGTCAAGAAGAAGGATCTATATGCACATCAAGATTTTAACCAAGTGTGCTCAACGGGTGTTGAATATACAAAGGTCAAACTATTTAGACCGATACTCAAGATCTTTCATTATCCTTGTCTCAGGTAAGTAGCAACCTTTTGAACTTCCTTATAAGTGTTCAAAACTCTTATATAACTCTTCAAGAGTTTTACTTATACTTAGGCTATTCGAATTTCGTGATAAGTTTCGATAATATTCAGTCTTTTGAAACTCTACAAGAGTTCGGTGCTAACAAAATTGTAAATGCACATATGACTTATGAATACTCACTCTAGTAATAGTTATCATCCTATCATTCAAATATGGTCATAGAACAGATAGAAAATCACAAATAACCATGTTATATATATATATAAAAAAACATATCTAGATAAAAACAAACATAGCATATCTATTATATTCAAGAATATGAACCTAAATATCTAGACACATGAAGACATTATAACTTGCGCAAATCTTTTGAACTAATTTCTCGAGAATTGGGAATCATGTCCTTTTCTTTTTAATCCTTCGGGAATTTCATATAGACGTCATTATTAAATATCAAATATCACGTATTAAGTGATCACTATTTTCAAGAGACGCATTTTCCATATCTTCATTTACAGCCAGATACAACAAATATTAGAAGAACTCTATTTCCATCTACCACAAGAGAATAAATCTCCTCATGATTAACATCCGGACTTTCAGAAAACTTGCGCAATAAGTTGGTTGCTCATTAATGTTGTGCACAATCACCCAATAATATTTAGCCGATGTGTTATTTGCCAAAACTTCTAGTCTTTCAAGAAGTTTTAATTCAACTTACACATCTTCTGGTGTGCGTATCGCGTCTTTTCATTTGTTGTGGCCAATAAGTTTAATGTCCATACTCACAACAGACTTTCATGATCTTCATTCATTTCACTAACTGCTGCTGATGAGAATCATATAGCCTTCCATGGTGGTTCCCCTAGTGAGGGGAATGAGCTAGTTCTTCATTCTAGTTTTGGGATGCCAAGTTTACTTTGCAGGGCAATCAAAGAAGAAAGGATGGATCTTGACTACTTATGTGATAGGGAGTTGGTTGCTATGAACAAGATGACGAGAATGTCATTTACTTTGGGGTTCAAACCAAAGGAGATGATTAACTCATAGAAATAAGTGCTCAAGAGTATCAAGAGAGTTTGACTCTAAGTGCTCCATGAAGATCATTAATCAAGCTAGAGAGAAGAATCATTTAGGTTCTTGAATGGACGACCTATTTGATCAAAGTGTTCAAGACTGAGTCCATTGCTACACAATTGGATAGGGTGCAAACTATCTCAATTGTTTCAAGTGTTTTTTTATTCTTTTGGAGTCAATAAAGAGAATTGTACAAGTTTTAGAGTAAATTGGAGTTATCTACAACTTGAGGGGTGCAAGACCAATATTTCACCTTTTGGAAGGGCGTTCAAGACATTTTACTTCAACAATTGTTGCTGATTTCGAGATTAGAGTTTGTCTAAGTCTAGGAGTTTATTTTCGAGTTATCTAGTTAAAATAAGCCATGTGGGCTGAATTAAGCTAGAATATTTTGTTTAGGAGTCTTAGATTCCTTCTAAGTATTATCCTGTTTGAGGATAAGTCATTTAGATAAGGTTTCCTAGATTTTAGATAGAGTCAAAGAGATCAAATGCTCTTCTATCTCTACTCCTGCGAGAGATAAGATTAGAGAGTCCTAGTTGGTCTTCTTTTGTGCTTTGTGACCAAGGTTGCTAATCTATAAATAGGGGGCATGGCGTAAGGTTCAATGTACCCGTGTGTGGTCATTTTGAGTCTTCTCTAATGAGAGTTTTTCCTGTGAAGAATTTTTGTTAAATGGTGTGTCTTTTTTTCATTTGTCAAGTATGATTTAACCAAGAGGGTTTTTGATCTTGTCTTAGATCTTTTGATCTTGCAAAAACAGTTCTTTTTCAAGTATGCTTCTTGATAGAATTGTTTTAAAACTAAACTTCTTATTTTCATACCACTTCTAATAGTTCGAGAGTTGAACCTTTCTTTTAGCTAGGGTTTTCGAAATTCATGATGTGTGTGTTCATGAGTTCTTTTGTGGGGTTTGTCCTACTTTTTGTTGGATGAATTTTGCTTTGGCATAAGTATTTTGAGATAGTGTTTTTGTTGCATATCTTTGTTGGTTATGGAGAGTACTAATCAATAGTATTCCTTCATAGTTGAGCATTGTTTGCTCCTACCTTTCTTGAGTCTCTTGAATTAATGACTGATCGAGTATATTGAATGGTGTCCTTACTATTCTTAGCGTGGGTTGTTGTTTAATTCGAATCTTTCCTAGATTATGTGTTCTTTGCTTGGTTTGAGTTGAAGAGATAGAAATCCTTAGATAAACGATCGTCTTACTATGAATTTTTCGCACGCTTTTGAGTTTAAAGGGATAGACAAATTATCTTCGTACTTTCTTGTTTGATAGTTGCATTAACGAAATTTGCTTCATCTACGAGATTGCTATTAGTTTTTGGTATCAGAGCTTGAACTATCTAAGTGATGGTATTAATTGATATTATCATATCAGTTTTTAGTATCAGTTTGAGTTTCGAGAGATTTCTTTTTGATTAAGGACTTCATAGTTCTTGGTTTTGAGAATATTTTGAGTTACCACAGAATCCGTTTCTTGGTGTGGTAATCGAGCTTTGTAATACTAATGAGTAGTACTATCTTTATTTGTTTCAAGGTTCCTTCTTGTTGCAGAATGGGTTTTGAAAGAATAAATCAAATTCTTGTGAAAAATACGTTTTCAAAATTGATCTTGTCTTTTGTGTGGTTGTGCGAGACTTCTTACACATTTGTTTGATCTTGTAGGGTTATTTTGAGGCCTATGCGAGAGCTTGATGATGGTACATTGGTATCTAGTCAAAGTGGGTGCTACATCTTGAAATTTATCCTTGATTTGCAAGTAGAGAACTGTTTCTCCTATGAGCAAGTTAGTGGATCTTATGTGTTGAATCTTTAAGGAGAGAATTGATGCCAAAGAAGAGCTTCTTGTTCAAGATAACTTTTTCTTTCTAAA